TAGAGTAACTGTAACCCTACTTTTGGCCCACCCTGTATTATTAAATTACCTAGAATTAAACTGTCAACTGAAATTGTTGAAAAATTACTTTCTGATGTTAATTACTAGAAATAAATCCAAGTAATAATAAAATGAAAATATCACAGTTTTACTTTTGTCTCATAACAGCTTAGAAATATTAGCTCAGCCTTGAAGTATAAAACTTACCCCCGATATATTTAGCATTTACATCGACACCGCTAGATACTTAATGCAAATATAAGGTATAAATATCATGCTTTAATTCCACACAAAGTTTAAGTATATATTGTAACTAAACATCTCATAGTCACATAGATGTGAAATTAGTAGCGCTAAATCAAACGTAATATCATGTACGTGTATTTCTAGTACAAATTAATTACATAAGATTTGTTCTACAATAGAACACTTACTTAAAGGTTTCCTATAAAATTAGTTATTGGCCAGATAAATTACCTTTGAGGCTATGATCATTTACAATTTTACCGATTTGAAAATATTCGTAACAATCTATCACATCTTACAATGTGCGTTGCTAGATAGGTATAAATTTATGATTACTACCGGACATAGCATAAGGTACTGGTATAGTGCGAACTGAAGGATCCAGGGTTCGAGACGTGATACTGCTGAACACGTCCGCATTTTCAGTTATAGGCTTTTTATAGAAGTTATAGTCAATCCCCTTTTTCGGTTCAATGAGCCGAACAAAGTACTATGTGTCTATATAGCTGGCTACCTTCCTTTTCACCAGTAGCTCAAAATTACTGACGGCTATGCCTAAATCAAAGTTACTTTTACTAGGCTCTTTAACTAACGTGCAATATTAGGTGGCGTTCAGGTTAATACTTCCAGTTCCAGTACATAATTCGTAGGCTTCCGTCTTTTTCATGCGTGTATTGTTAAAAAGAAAGCCACAAAAGGGTGTCGAACAACTACCAAAAGGATCTTAATCCAGACAGAAACAATAGAGTGAAAATAATTAATAACACAGACTGACATAGGAGTTAGGGTGTCGAACAATTACCAACAGAGATTTAATCCAGACAGAAACATCACAGTGAAAAGAATTAATAACACTAACTGACATAGGAGTTAGGGTGTCAAACAACTACCAATACATTTTTAGTCTAGTGAAACATCACAGTGAAAACAATTGATAACACTGACTGACATAGAAGTTAGGGTGTTGAACAACTTCCAACAGAATTTGTATCCAGACATAAACAACATAGTGAAAAGATTTGATAACACTGACTGACATCGGAGCTGGGGTGCGTATTAAGTTCCTACAAAACGTAAGTGCCTTCTGGGAATTTTAAATATCTGAATTATAAGTTTTTATTATGCATTTCAGTATATTCTATATGGTGTGTCGGATTCTTAGTTATATATCTTTTGAAGTAGGCTACCAACTATTAAAACCCTCCTATCATAAACTTTAATGAAGCCTCATAACGCTCGTTAAAACAAATAAAAACTACAAAGTACCGAATATTCATACTTAGGAGTAATAGTTTATACGATACCTAACTTCTTGTATAGATATGTGTGTGTGTGTGTAATACTGCTGATTTCCCAAGGGTCTTCGGCTTCAAAACCATGTTTTTATTCACTGTATGAAGCGCACTAGCAAACATTTAATAAGTGATACTTCAGGAAAACTTTTACCATCCTCCACTTGAGTGTTGTCATTATTAATGCAAATTGAGCCAAGTTTGCAGGCATATTAGGATGTGCTTACGTTTTCACCTGTAATAATGAAATAAGAAAATAAAATTAATGTTTGTGAATTAATTTATATTTTTGAATTTGGTTTTCTAGATAAATCGACTCATTGTGTTGGAAAGACGATGTTGTTATTGTCTACTTAATGCAAACCGATACAATGAACTATTTGTGCTCTGTCCACCACGATTAATAGAACCTTGGATTTTGACGTTGTAAGTCTGTAAACTTGCCGCTGACAAACCGGGGGATATGTTTATAAGTTTTTCATAAAATTAAAATAACACAGAATAAAATTATTTAATTTCTGAAGTATTAGTATTATTTATTATTAGCTGAACGGACATGACAAGTGTGGTTGGATTTATTAGTATTATTTATTATTAGCTGAACGGACATGACAAGTGTGGTTGGATTTATTAGTATTATTTTTATTAGCCGAACGGACATGACAAGTGTGGTTGGATTTATTGGTATTATTTATTATTAACTGAACTGACATGACAAGTGTGGTTGGATTTATTAGTATTATTTATTATTAGCTAAACTGACATGACAAGTGTGGTTGAATTTATTAGTATTATTTATTGTTAGCTGAACGGACATGACAAGTGTGGTTGGATTTATTAGTATTATTTATTGTTAGCTGAACGGACATGACAAGTGTGGTTGGATTTATTAGTATTATTTATTGTTAGCTGAAG